TATATGTTTTGGATTGAAATACGAGCTTGTCGATGACCCGTCCCTTGTTACGAAAAGTTATTGGGATTGGGATAATTGGCATGTGTCGTGTGCTCGAACTTGTTCGTCTATGTTCAGTTCCTTGTTACGAAGAGTTACTGGGAGCGAACCGCTAGATGTTTAAGCGAGAGTGTCAATCTCGAACCGAACAATTGATTGCCCGACTTTGCTAGAACTTGAATTAATCATCCCCGATTCCCTAGCTTCTCCATCTTCGTTCCATCCATATTTTTAGGTAGATTTACATTTTTGCATTGTTATTTATTTCTTACTTGGTAATTGATTCCCCCCTATCTGATTAGTGTGTTTAGGATTTCTTTTGTTTTTATGTGTTATCAATATCATTTCTAAATTCCGAACCGCCTTCCTTGTGAGATCGACCTGGGGAATGAATCTTTCGATTCGGTACCCGGTAAAAATAACAATTTGTCCACAACAAATTTTAGCTATTATTGACCCTTATGATGAAAATTCCAAGATATTACGTACAGAATGAAATGTAGAAATAGAATAGACAAATCGTAGAAACAATTTCTGAACTTTTGTGATGAAAAAGTTAAAAATTTTGTCTTTACTCATTTCCCTCGAAACAATTTATTGAAAAGTCTATAGGGCATCATACCTAATGTCGGCTTTGGGCAACCCAAGCAACATCTTCTGGCATGAATGTCCTGTCGGGAGGGTTGATAGGCAAAAGCTGCTCAACCAACAAGGTTGTATTGTATGGATCACTGGTCTAAGTGGATCAGGGAAAAGCACCCTTGCGTGCTCACTGGGTAGACAACTGCACTGTCGGGGAAAACTTTCATATATTCTTGACGGTGACAACCTTAGGCATGGTCTCAACAAGAACCTTGGTTTCACACCAGAAGATCGGACAGAAAATATACGCAGGGTTGGGGAAGTTGCAAAGCTTTTTGCTGATGCTGGGTTGATTTGCATTGCTAGTATGATATCTCCTTATCGTAAAGATCGTGATGCTTGTTGTGCATTGTTGCCTGAAAATTTTATTGAGGTTTTCTTAAACATGCCTCTAGGGTTGTGTGAAGGAAGGTATCCCAAAGGCCTTTACAAGCTTGCACGAGCTGGGAAAATTAAAGGTTTTACAGGGATAGACGATCCTTACGAACCTCCTGTAAATTATGAGATTGAGATACAAGAGAGTGAAGGAATATGCCCCACACCAAATGAGATGGCTGGGCAGGTGGTATCGTACTTGGAAGACAAAGGATATCTGGAAGTTTAGTAATCACAGGATGAAAAACTCTGCATTTGCTAAAGCTTTTATACAAACTGATCTCTAGCTTAGAATACAGATTTTGATATAGCATGGGACATTGGAGTTTTTAAGGAAATAGGAGCATACTTGCGCTTGCTTCTCTTAAATTTATAGATCTGACACTGGTTGAATAATATATTCCGCATATTGGTTGAAAAAAAAACCAAAAAAAACATGAGAGCTCACAGGACGAATTGAATGGATTCTGCTCCTCTTACTAGTCGATTCGTGTTGACGGGTAATGAGCATTGAGAAACTACTGTAGGACACTTGGATGACCTCCAATGTTTACACCTACAGAATGTTGTCCATTTGATTCGATCTTGTTCGGAAAAAGTTACTCTCCGAATAAAAATGATATATATATATAAAAAAAAATGGGTAAAGTAATGTTGTAATTCGATTAGAGCAGTGAGGTGTTGTTTGTGGAGTTGTTTGATGGATGGTGAATGTGCTATATTGTTTATTCCAGATTGGTAGCGGAGAACTCGATTAATTTATTTGCTCGAGAATTTTTGTTGTTTATTTGAGCTTCTTTTTTGGCATATATATCCTTTTCCTTAACCCACATTACAACCCGTGAAGTCCTCTTGATTCGCAAATTTTTGAGCTTTGATTGTTTTCGAGTAATTTAAACGAATGACAAGCATATGTTGAAACTTGAATTTTGACCAATTTTGAGCGTGCCTATCATATACTCGTACAAGAAAATGAGTGAGGTTTATATTACATTCTTTGCGTTTGAGATTTGTCATTTTGAGGCCAAGTTGATATTTGAGGTATATGGTTGTATGGTCGTTGGAATTCGACTTCATTGAGTTAGGCATTTTGAAGCTCTTCTTATTTGAAACCATATCCATGCTCGTGTCTTCTTTTCTTTTCTTTTTGTTCGGGACGAACAAAGATTTAAGTGTGGTGGAGTTGTTTGTCCCATTTTTGTTGTGTTTTTCCTTGTTATTTTTCCTTTCTTTTTCCCCCATTTTGTGTCTTTTCGTCGTTTTTTAGTTCGTATTAGTGTTTATTGTGTATTTCACTCTATTTCGCTCTTCTTTGTGTTTTCCGTATATTTTTTCCGTTTGTCTTTTATTTTTGGGGTGCAGGTCTAAGGCCTCGAGATAATCATGTTTTGGGCAAAAATTGACCGGGCAAGCATAATTAAAAAGAGCATTTCGTAGGCATTGCAAAGAAGAAAACGGGTTTGAATTTCGACACTCACCCAAGCGAACCCGGAATGCAAGGTGATGCGAGCAAACCACGAGCCCTGGGCCAGCACCGCGCCGCGAAGGCACCACAAGGCCGACAGAGTGCCCAAGAACGCGCGTCGCGCCGTGAAGAGGGACCACGCCGTGCCAGTGTAGTCATCCGCCACGTCGCGCCGGTGCCCCGTCTTGAACAGATGACCAGACCTCGCTCACCGCGCCGCGGCAGCCGTCGCGCCGCTGCGCCTGCTACTTACCTCGACCAGACATTCTCCTCCGCGCCGTGGAGCATCATCACGCCGCGCTGCCCTCTTCCCTCGCGCCGCGGCAGAGTCCTTCATCACGCCGTGCTGCTCCTCGCGGCATCCTCCACATGCAGACAGAGCCAGCAGACTCTCACGTCGCGCCGCGCTACTCCCTCACGCCGCGGTGCATGCCTCCCTCGCGCCGCGGCACAACTCGCGACGCCCGCCACGGACCAGCAGACTACACAAACCTCCCAGGCGTCGCGCTGCGCCAGCCCTGCCGCGCCGCGGCACCACTTACTTTCTCGCCCGTGACGTTTTTCTCGCGCCGTGGCTCGTGCGTACTATATATAATAAGTTCGGGATTGCGATAGAAAAATCTCTCTCGACCGGGTGTAAGCCCTAGGTCCGGAGAAAACACTCAATCTCCTCCTCCCTTCTTTCTCCTTCCTTTCTTCTTCTTCATCATCTTTCACTTTTATTTTCTATTTTTCACGTGGATTTTGTTCATACTCTTGGATGAAGCTTGTATGTTGGATTCGACATTTGAATTGAGATTATTGGTAAGAATGTCATTCTCTTATTTTAATTCATGAATAATGATTAATTTGAGTAGAATGATTATTTGTGTTGAATTCATGTTACATAGCTGATTTTTCTAGGGATAGGGGATGATTGTTCTCGTTTGAACTGTACTTGTCGGGCTTTGATTCGTTCATACTTATGTGCGTTGTTTTGACGAGGAATTGATAAATTTGTAATTGATAGATTGATATAATCGAAAAGTGACATTTCGATCTTTCTATTGGTGACAGTTGGATGTTAATTTGTCGAATTAGGGTTTGTCAATT